TATTGCACACCACCCAAAAATACAAGACAAAGCGCCTACATAGGTATAACTACATACTGAAAGATCATTATTGAAAAACGAAGTTATTATTATATGAAGAGCTATTTTATACATATAAGACACAATGCTTAAAAGCTTTAATTTAAAGCAAACAAAAGGGCCAAGGTAATTTTAACTAATAAACAAACTAAGGGGTCCAAATCAAATCCTTACCAATTTCAACATAGCAGAATTATTGTTGGCAGCGTGATTTTAGAAAATAATTAATGACAAAAAGTTTTTTTAATAGTTTGGTATTTAGCATGTAGTCCTTTACAGATTCAAACAGAAAAATATAAACAGAGGTAATCTAGGTGATAATATTTTGACGCACCCCTCTTCGTACGTAATAAATTCAGAGTTCATTCAAATCTCATTCAGTCCTGTCTCAGCTTATTTCCTTGACAATAAATTACAAGACCATCCCATATCTTGACAGAATCTAAACCGGAAAAACGAATCAGATTGTTTGCGAAGCGTTTAACTTTAGGTCGAAAGTCGGTCGTGACAAATCGTATGATCCCTGCTATTATACAGGGTGTCAGAAAAACTCGACCTATTCTTTGAAAAGGGTTTATCATAGATCATTAGCAACAAATTAACTCCAGTGCAAAATAAAATTTAAAAAATATACAAAAAGTTAACAATATGTTAGCTCATTATGTTAGTTACTAACGACATTTCGTTTCTGAAATTATGTAATTTTTGGGCAAATACTTTTTTTAAAGAACACTAGAAGTTTTTCAGAAGTGCAATGTTTCGATTGGAGTAGTTATTTACAATTAATCGCCCTGGTACACTGAACTTAATTTGTTGCTAATGACCTCTTTTTCATCGTCAGGGTAATGCAGGAAATTGCATACCCACCAGCCTCGGGGGCAGCTAGTGGGTTATGTGGGGCTCTCCCTACCGAAGGATAGGGCCTACCCACTAAAAACAGACTGTTTCCGCAATGAGCTATATGAATGGGGAAAGCGGGATATCGCCTTCCTAATGACCACTAGTGTAACTCCTTTCAAGGTTTGGTGTACAGGATAGTTCAGGACTTTTTGACAGTTGGACAGGAATCCTGGGAATTCAGGGGAAATGAAACAGAGAGAGAATTGTGTGTCCGCTATAAATAAGTAACATAAACTAGAAAAGAGGGTGCAGTTGAGCACAAATGGGTTGAGTTTCCCTGTCACCCTGTATATTCTGTGCCTGAGCATACCGTGGAAAGAGGCTAAGGTCCTAATGGCTTTATCGGGGAATGCCGTCCTAATGATTGTCCGTAGTGCCGAACCTTAACAAATGTTTTGAATTTCCTCGCTTTACTTTGCGTATTTCCAGTGTACTTGTCAATTCGAATTCTATAGCGTTTATTTCGTTTGTTGCTGACGCAGCTGGAGCATTGTTTATTTTTTTAGGTCTATTTTTAGTCAAGAAATATAAAATACAGAAAGTTTCGTTTGACGTCATAATATTTGAAATACATGTCTAAGTATGTTGTCCAGTTATTCTCAAGATTTGCAGCTTTTTTATAAAGCTGTTGAAATATTTAGCAACGTAACTTAAAATAATTCCAATTATGTTATTATGCTCAATTTTATTCTAAGGAAATTTAAAATTAAACCTCAGTCACCATCTTGAAAATGGCGGAAGTATTTTAGATATTCAAATGAAAATTTCCCCCTGAAGTCGGTAAATTAACATATTCATGTATGTTTGTGACCCGCATAAGTTTATAAGGATAATTTTTCACCAAACTTCCTGAAACTCCTCATGTAAAGTCATATTGGGGAAAATTTATGTTAAAGCGGTTGATAGAGACTGTGAGCTACTTGTTTAATATTATAAAAAAGGTTTTTTGATTACCTACTTTAATCTTTTAAAAATTGCAAAAGATTTCTTAATAATGTAATGTTAATGTTAATTAAAAGTTTCATGAACCGTAACGTCATTATGGGACCTTTCCCACCTCTCGTTCCCACCTGCAACTGCTGTGTAGCCAGGATCTACAGCTTGACCGCCAATAAAAACCCAACCAGTGAAGCGCAACGTCGTTAGCGAAATAAATGGTAGGGACAAGAAATAATACTACCACACAACCGCAAGAACTTTCAATACATTCCAAAAAGTAGGTAATTATGTCAAAATTAACATCATTATAATATGACACTGAAAAAACTGCCCAACTCTACCATACGAGTATAAAAATAGTTATAATTATCAACTTGTGATACACAGTGTTTTAATACCTGCCTCCACCTACCTTTTTATTAAAATTAAATAAGGATTAGGTTATGACGTTTCTTACTATTTCTTTCGAGTCACTAGACTCGAATTAATGTTTTATTGATGGCATTCACTAGAATGCCATCAATAAAACCGTAAAAAAGACCTTACGTTATTAACGAAGTTTTGTAAGCTGCTTCACCCAACATATATTCGCTGGGTGCGAAGTACTAGGTGGGGGGGACATAATCTATCGCAGCGCTCATGGTGGTCAAAAGTAGAAATAATGTTAGCTCTGTCATCAGATGTATCTGTCAATGGCAAAGCGATTCTACATTATATTTTAATATCATTAATTAATCGCATGAAAAGGGTCCTACTGGGAACTTAAATAAAAGAGTGGACTGTATTTCGATAGGGCTGTTTTAANGTTTCCGCTATGAGCCATATGAATGGGAAAGCGGCATATCGCCTTGCTAATGACCACTAGTGTAACTCCTTTCAAGGTTTGGTGTACAGGATAGTTCAGGACTTTTTGACAGTTGGACAGGAATCCTGGGAAATCAGGGGAAATGAAACAGAGAGAGAATTGTGTGACCGCTATAAATAAGTAACATAAACTAGAAAAGAGGGTGCAGTTGAGCACAAATGGGTTGAGTTTCCCTGTCACCCTGTATATTCTGTGCCTGGGCATACCATGGAAAGAGGCTAAGGTCCTAATGGCTTTATCGGGAAATGCCGTCCTAATGATATTGTCCGTAGTGCCGAACCTTAACAAATGTTTTGAATTTCCTCGCTTTACTTTGCGTATTTCCAGTCTACTTGTCAATTCGAATTCTATAGCGTTTATTTCGTTTGTTGCTGACGCAGCTGGAGCATTATAATTGTTTCTTTTTTAGGTCTATTTAAAATACAGAATGTATTACAAAGTTTCGTTTGACGTCATATTATTTGAAAAATGCTTGTTGTTGTCAATTCTCAAGATTTGCAGCTTTTGTTTACATTATAAAGCTGTTGAAATATTTAGCAACGTAACTTAAAATAATTCCAATTATGTTATTAATGCTCAATTTTATTCTAAGGAAATTTAAAATTAAACCTTAGTCACCTCTTGAAAATGGCGGAAGTATTTTAGATATTAAGCCAAAAGCTAGTGGTTTTCAGGACTAGGTAGGTACGAGTATAATGCCATTTCGTCGTTTAAGTTCTATCCGTAACACCACGTAAGTCATTTTTAGCAACTTTTCAGGAGATTGAACGAAACGACGCGACGCGTCTTTCGATTATCGCCCGCCAAAAAATTACTTACGTGTGATAGAACTTAACCGACGATTTGCGGTCTCGGGTTAGATTTCAATGGAGACAACTGCAACTACTGCAAGTGTGAGGAGCGTGATCATTGTAAGTAGGTATCATCGTATTTATTTATATCGTAAGTATGTATAACCACGTAAGTAATATAACAGCAGTTACCCATTTGTGTAGGAGAGTATAAGGAAACTCAAATCAACCAGCCAACAAACTCCCTGAATGTCTCTTACTTAATATTAAATATTTATAACTACGTCTCGGTATCTTAATGGACACCAAAAAGTTCGAATTGACATCACATAATTATATTAATTAACTTGTTAATTAGCCTTTTTGCAATTCAACATTTCGGTTCCAAGTTCGTCATAATTGCCTCTTCTTTGCCGCTTTGTGAACTAAATGTGTTTCATATATGTGACTTGAATAAGATTATCAGTTTCTGACGTAGGAAAATATTTTCAGCCTAAAACTTAAGTAATTTAATTTACCCATACGGTAGGTACACATGTTATTTTAAACATATTATTTATTTTCCTTTTGACGTTAGGATACGTCTGTTTGCTAAACTGGGGACACTCTTATCTAAATAAATCTACTTAACATAAATACTTATCAAATACTTAATTATGTAAGTTAGCTAGCTTGAACATCGTTATTTTAAAGTGTTTTTAAAGTAGGTAAAGTCATTCATTTTTGATTTCATCATTAGGTACTTTTCTAATGGTTATTGGAAAAATATTTTAAGTTACGAGTGACTCAGCTCAATCGAGTCAATAATTCCAAACCTGGATTTGTGAACTGGGTCACGTCTCTGAAAAGACTGATTTAGTGGAGTCATCCACAAATTACTTCCAGTCCAGAGTTGCGATAGGTTACGGACACAGAGGTTACGGACTTACAGCAACCTATCTACCTACGTGTAAGACGCAATATGATAAAATTAAATAAAAGAAAAGTTTTTTTTCGACTAAATCTAAAATTAAGTTCGTATGTTTCAACTGGCTGGGAAAAGGCCTTGCCTTCCCCCACGGATTTCCACATAGACCAGTCTCAAAATTAATTAGGTAGGTCTACCTACCTACACCCTATTTAGGTACTAGTACTTATTATTATTCTGTGGTACTACTTAAACTTATTATGTGATAAGTAATTATGTGAGAATGCTTGGTTAGATATAGGGGATCTCATTAAAGATATCTAGAATATTTTTATATAAAAAAATATTGAAAAAAATATTTGCTAAATTATTGAGCAATTAATATTAGACTGTGAAAAACACAAAACGATTATTCTCTTATTATAGCTGTGAGAATAGAATTAAAATAATAAATACAAAATCATGGACCTACAAGTCGATCACACAACAATTCGGACAAAGTAGAAAGTCACAGCTGTCAAGTCACGTCATTTCAATGACTGACAGCTGTTGTCTGTCACTTGTCATTTTTCTTCAAGCAACTTGATGATTTGAAGATTCGCAGTTCGCACTTTAATAATTAATCGTAAATCATTTTTTCGTCTTCTTTTGGCCATAACTAAATCAAAATGTCGACAGAAAATTCGCCGGTGAAGCCTTCTCAATCGCCTAGCGCTGTGGAAACTCTGGACGACTTCGAGAATCAAGTTCGTTATGTTTTTGTAAGCAACGCCTACTTTCTTCTATTTATCATACAAGTGATTGAAATTTAGTGCTTTTCTTGTAGGATACATTATTGAAACACGTCGACATATCGATCGTGGAGTCGGAGAAGCGCGCTAACGGCACACTACACGTGCGTGACCATTATACAGTCTACCTGATCGATCTCAAGTAAGTGCAAGCATTCTATTGTTTTCCTAACTAATTACGCCTCCCTGGCAGACAATTAACGCGGCTTCTCCCATTTGAATGGTGCTAAATACACTTCATAGCTCAACTTACACTGCCAGCTCAATTAAGTTGTCATATTTCTGTTTCTATCTCTAAATGACCTCATTTTTGCCAATATATTACCATTTTTATTGCTTACGTCAATAAGATGAATTTTTTACACACATGAGCTGTTGTATCTTACTTTGAGTCTTGCTTGAAGTTAACTTATTGATTTATGAACTTATTTCAGGAATTTACTACCATATAAAACTATGCAATCAAAAAAATGTGCTAACTTAAATTTGTTTCAGTGTAATAAATATTTCATACCTACCTACAAAGTTCTCTGTCCTAATATCATTGGTAAATTAATAAATTGCAGGGTCACCAACCCAGAGTACAAGCTGGTGCAGTCGAAAATCAGCACAATTTGGAGACGCTACACCGAGTTCGAGCAGATTCACGACTACCTCCAAGTCACCTATCCGCATGTTGTCATTCCACCGTTACCAGAAAAACGGGTAAGACTAAACAATTGCTAATATTATTTATAGTTTTAGGTATGTTGTGACTAATAATATAATATCTTAGGAAATATACTACTGAAATAGTGTCTGAACTTCAACAAAAATTATTTGATAACAATGAGGGCTATAGTTTTAGCGCTCACCAGTTAGCGCCACTGTAGAGTAAGGTCCTGTCACTTGCTAGTAGCGAAGACAGTGGCACCAACTGGTGAGCACGAAAGTGGTAGGAGGACTATCGCATAGGCACTCATTAAGATGGCGCCACTGTAGAGTAAGGTCCTGTCAATCGCCAGGGGTGCCAACTGTTAAGTATAAAAACAATAGCCCTCATTGCTGAACGGTAAAATTAAAATTCATAAATGTATTTCACTGTATAATACTGCAAAAATATACCATTGCATTGTTATCTCTGGAGTTCACAAACAAAATTATCATAATGAAATTATCTTGAAAGATTGTGCTTGTTGGTGTGCATACAAATCAGCTAAAGTAAATACTTTCATACAAATCAAGTGCACAATTTTAGAAGTTATTCTGAGCATTTTATTAGTTTCAATGATCTTTAATTTGAACTTTGAACCACAATGCAGATTCTTCCTGTAATGACCTCACTCGTAAATAAGCTTCAATTTGTGACTGCTTTCTATTGAATCTGTTGAATCATACTGTCCGCTGTCACAGTTGATTGATATTATTACAAAAGCATAATATGCAGTTTTAATATTACTTAGCTTTAACTTATATAATGTGAATTTATTTTTATAATTGAATCATCAAATAGTGTTGCTCTAATTATTAATACATAAGTTTATACAAAAGAAATATGATTCTTCCTACCCCACACAAAATATCACCCTCTTACCATTGTTTTTTTTAATTAAATGTATTTCAATCTAATATTGATTCAGTTTCATTGTTAATGTAACGCTGCTGTCGCGCTTCTGACGCCCTAATGAGAAAGCTCTCTTAAGCACTACCTATAGCAGGGGTGGCTCACTTGATTAGACATAAGATCTACTGTTTACCAACGAAACCCTGGGTGATCTACCACTTACATACTTCTTGAAATCTTTAATGAAACAGCATAGTTTAGTACACAATCGTGTAGTATTTTTTGCCTTGCCACTATCGACCGGTTTGCCACCCCTGACCTATAGTGAGGTATAAAAATGTCACTGCTTTCAAAGGTGCTATACGCGTGGCGTAAATCCGACACAACCGACCCAGAGTTTGTGGAGCGCCGCCGTGCGGGACTCGAGAACTTTCTGCTGCGGGTCGCGTCACACCCGAGGCTTTGCTTCGACGATCAGTTCATCAACTTCTTGCAGCAAGAGCATGGCTGGCGGGAGACCATCACGGAGAGCGGTAAGGGTTCGGACAAACCAACGCGATCACACCGCGATCAGCCGGCGTGCAGCGATGGCGACCAGACCTAAATGCATTGATCGCCATCGCTGCACGCCGGTTGATCGCGTTGGTTTGGCCGAACCTTAAGGATAATGGTTTATTCTAGGGATCACGTGCTTGTTTCACAAACTAAACATACATTAACATCATTATTTTTGTATTTATTTCAACAATCAATGTTATCTATACTCGCTAATATTTAAAATTTATTAGAGGCTGGTTATGGTGCAAATACAACAAACACGTCACGACGTGTCGCTCTCGAGAAAGCGTGCGAAATAGAAAAATATTTCCTCAAAATATTATACTATAATAGGTAGTTATTTTATTGGAAAATATTTATTAGGGAAACTTTGAGGAAAAGTAAATGCTTAAAATTCCCAGTTGTAAATTTAAATAAAGTGAATATTTCCGTTTATATTGCAGGTTACAGATTACAGGCAGAAAATAAGCTGAAATCGTTGTCAGTGTCAATCAGACTGAAAAAACCAGACCCAGAGATTGACAGCGTCAAGAACTACGGCCGGCAACTCGAAACAAATCTAGGCAACTTTCTGTATACTAGGTAACTTTGCACCTTAACCTTTTGATAATAGAGTAGTTTTTGTATTATATTAATAGCGGTCTGAATTTCAGGTCAAAAATTATGGAAAAGAACTATGCGCTGTGTAAACTTCATGCGAACTATGGGAAATTATTCAGTGAATGGAGTGTGATAGAGAAAGAAATGGGAGATGGCTTGCAGAAGGCTGGACATTATTTTGGTAAATATACTTCTCTTCTTAGTCTATGTTCTACACAAATACAAATTAATTGTAACCAAAGTCTCTCAAGTTTTGCGATCTTTGGGTCTATTTATTTGATATCCAGTAGCTCACGAATTGACCTGAGTGTATCAATTTGCGAATTATTTTCATTCACATTCTTCGATAAACCACGTCTACTACAACTTTCAGCTTGGATTGACCGCCTTCATTCGTTTGTTATACTTTGATGACGTCATCGTATCTTGTCGTCACAGTTGTCATATAACGAATTTGGACGCGCGAGGGCTGTAATAGGCGGGCACTCGCGCAATTTTTAGCGTACATCCTAGGACAGTGTCGCGCTCGTCAGTGACTTGGGACACCAAGTTATCTATATTATTTCTTATTTATTTCAGATTCAATAGCAGACAGCATAGACTCAGTAGCGGAAGACGAGGAGCAACTAGCCGACCAGTTAAAGGAGTATTTATTCTACGCAGGCGCATTGCAGCAGCTGTGCGCTAACCACGAGGCGCTGCAACGCGCGTTAGAGTTGGCGCACGACACACTCAATAACAGGTATTATGGAGGATTCTATCGGAGGACACAGGTAGCCGGAAAACTTGGGCGGAGGACACAGGTAGCATGAGAACTATGATGAAGGACACAGGTAGCGGAAAACTCAAGCAGAGGACACAGCTGCAGAACTATAGCAGAGAACATAGCCTGAGAACTAGCAAAGGACACAGGTAGCCTGCTACCCGCACCGACCAATGTAGAGTTGAGATTTCTACCTACATTTTTATTAGGTCTATGCAGACTACTGCAATGCCGGAGCACAATATTCTCTTATTTACAATTTACAAGAGTCAAATGGAGGATTTTGCCTGCACTCCCAACCTTGGCCAGACGGGTCGTGGAGGCCTGATTTTCACAAATAGTACCTTAAGGCGCTACGCTGCAACAAAGACCTAGACCAGAGACCGCAACCGTTACTTGACATCAGGCAATAATAATAATAATAAATTTTTATTTCAGAAAAAATATTTTCCATAGTGGGTTAGTAGTTACAGATGTATAAGCATCAGTTCGCGAGCGAGACAGAAACAGTAGACGGAAACCTAAGGGTGGGTTGCACCATCTTAATTTGACAGTAATTATGACGATAACCGGTGCTTTTTGTATGGAGTTTGACAGATTTTTGACGTTTGTCAAAGTTAAAGTAAGATGGTGCAACCAAGCCTAAGTTAAGTTACGGTCTTCTGCGTAACGGGTAGTTAGCTGAGACAGAGACCGCTGTCGCGATGTAAAATTGTAAATCGCTACCTTAATCTCCTTTTATGATATCCACGAGCAGAGTGGAACTGAATCTATTCTACTATGCCCGAACACACGGTTCAATTCCTTCTACCTACATGCTTGTTTTTAACTCTGAGAGAATTTCACTGTAATTTTAACGTGTAAATTAACTTGGAAAATGTGTTCATTTCGGCGCGCGAACAAAGCCATTGTTTTTCTGTTTATTGTGAATTGAAAAAATAAAACTATTGGAATGAGGGATTTCGCGATTGAAGGATCCGCCAGATGGCGATACGTGAACGCGGGGTCCAGATGCTGCGTGATTGGTTATTTTTGACATGACATTGACAGATATGTCAAAATCCACCAATCACGCAGCGATCGGACCCCACGTCCGCGTCCCGCCATCTGGCGGATTTTTCAATAGCGAAAACCCTCATTGCACATTAACCATGCATTATACCATGTTCCATAAGTTGCTATTCAATATTCAACAGAATAGCGGAACGCAACCGCGCCGCAGCCGGCAAGTCGGGCCTACTGTCGCGTCTGTTCGGCACCACCGATCCTGACATCGTGCGCGACCAGGCCACGCGCGCGCTCGACGCCAAGATACACGACGACCGCGCCGCGATACAGGCTGCGCAGAGAGACCTCGAGTGAGTACACAACCGCGCGACAACTATTGTAGTACGACTAGTGCGGGACCAGTAAAGTCTGGTCGCCGAGCATGTAGAATTTTGTCCAATGACCCCAAGCTACCCATCCTTATCGCTCGCGCGTAATTATATTGCTGTCGCAACTGTCTTTGCCTCGAGTATAGTGTAAAGTACGGCCAACTAGCAGCGATACAAAAGGTCGATTCGACTGTCGAACTGAACTCTTCCCATCTCGTGTATTTGTCGTTATGTTTCGTTCTCCCGCCAAAATATGTCAAAGTCAAACCCCTGCTATTCCAAATGACCATGACATTGGGTTTGTTTACATTTGGTATCGCTTCTCGTTGGCCGTACTTTAGTACGACTCGTGGTACGACTAGTGCGCGACCAGTAGGCCTAGGATGCACGCCGTGATAATCGATTTTACGTGATAGGTAATCCCATACATTTGACGTCTAAAATCATCGAAGAGATTTTATCACGACGCGCATCCTAGCCTGGCTGGCCACGCGCGCGCTCGACGCCAAGATACACGACGACCGCGCCGCGATACAGGCTGCCCAGCGGGACCTCGAGTGAGTACACAACCGCGCGACAACTTTTTTTTTAATCCACAACGAGGAAGCTCTTGGCCTGTATCACACCTGATGGTAAGTGATGATCAGGCCGAAGGTGGAAGCGAGCTTCACCCGGAATCCTCAACCACGGAGGAACTGGCTATCTTACCTCTAACTGCCGGAACACAACAATGCTGTTAACATTGTTGTTATGGCGACAGACTTAAGTAAGATGGTGGTAGCTAGCCAGGCGGCCTTAGAACAAGCCCTACCACCAACCAAACCGAACAGAAAAATCTGCTCCCACTGGGAATCGAACCCGGGACCTCTGCGTCTGAAGCAGGTGGTCTTACCACTAGACCACAGAGGCGGTTTTATTACGAACTATTGTACGTTGAACTATTGTAGTACGACTAGTGCGGGACCGGTAAAGTCTGGTCGCCGAGCACGTAGAATTTTGTCCAATGACCCAAAGCTACCCATCCTTATCGCTCGCGCGTAATTATATTGCTGTCGCAACTTTGCCTCGAGTATAGTGTAAAGTACGGCCCACTAGCAGCGATACAAAAGGTCGATTCGACTGTCGAACTGACAATCTATTCTGTCTCTTCCCATCTCGTGTATTTGTCGTAATGTTTCGTTCTCCCGCCAAAATATGTAAAAGTCAAACCCCTGCTATGGGGCCGTCCATATATTACGTCATNACAGAACAGCCTAATCTGAATCTGGTTTACTGATAGCTCAAAGATGCAGTAGCGGCCAAGCATCAGAGGGTGACACATGTCGCACAGATAAGTACTCACTGGCGCATCGGCATAGCAAGTCTGCGGTCTATGTCATTGTCTTTCAATCTTGGATTTTTGTGAATTTTACTCAATATTTCAATTTTTTTGTATGAAAAGGCAAAAAGTTTGTTCTAGAAATGAATTCGCCATCCTTTAATTATCCGAAAATGATACCACACTTGCCCTAATACCCATAGTTTTGAAGATATGGGCCTTAAAGTGAAGCGCGGCGGAAGGAAACTTGCCCCCCCTCCCCCTGCTACCACAGGGGGGGCTCCCGATGTCTACCGACGGAAATCCACTCAGGAGCACCCAAAGAACCACTGTTGCAAAAATGAGCCTTCTATACCAAAGTGGAGGGGTTCTTGCACTAAATTCCCTACTATGAGAGGTAATAAGAAAGTTGCTGCTTCGCCACAGATTGTGTACCGTATAGTCCAACAGCGCCCCCTAGCGGCTCGCTCGAGAGCAGCACAAATAAACGAGCTTTGGAAGCTTTTTATGAGCTTCCGGTTTTAGTCCGCCATCGCCGGTTAGTGAACGGAGCCTGCATTACTTAGAACTTACTTTGTACGCTGTAGGATAATATCTTTTTAATCGTGATGTAACGTAATTTAATAAAAAAAACTGTTTATTTTTGTGAAAATAAACTAAAATGGCCTGCAAAGCAACGCCCAATTCCAACACATAATCATTTAAGGACAGTGAGATTATGCATATAATGTGAATTTACAGTCCTATGACCACCATGAATAATTTTCAGCCCTTAACTAAATTTGGAATAGCCCCAAAACTGGGTCAAACCCGCAACAATATCTGCACGACCTAGATTGATAACAATGAACCATTAAACTAGTGGCCAAAAGCTTCGGAGGATTCAAATTCACAAACAAACTAAGCTGTGCTTTGTTTTCTACTGTTTGGGCGAATCAAACAGCATGTGTTGTACCCCAGGGAGATGGGGCAATTATGGAATGAATAGTAAATACAAGACAGTTTGCTGTGTGTGTGAAAACTCCACTGTATTAATGCGACATTTACCGTGAAGAGTGAAACACATTGGGTTTTACCACGGTTTTACTTTCATCCAGTTATTTTTCTTATAATAACTTACCCTTGAAACTTGTGCTGTATGAATTTTAATAATTCTTTAAAATCTTATTAAACCACCGATACGCTAGAAGAACAAGCGTCAATACAGCCATCAATTCCATCCCTACCTATCTCCGAAGACCCAAATCTGTTAAAATTAAAAAGTAAGTGGATTTGATTCTCACTAAATAAACGACAAATCTTCCTCTTCAACACGTCTCACCTCACACGCGTAAAAGCCACGTCTATTTTCACGTGAAACCTTCCCGAGTCGGGTCACAAATCTATTTTTACACGTCCCTACCCAAACACGCGTCCAGGTAACACCTTTCCCTTTTACTGTTTAAAAGCAAATAGAGCCGTGTCCCGTCTAAACACCGTCCTCGAGAGGCTGCCTCTATAAAAACATTTTGCGTTAATCGCGTAGTGAGTACTGACCGCAATTTGCCCGACCTCCCTTGCTCGCCTATTATTACCCTTGTAGCTAGGGCTACCTCATTCAAAACTTCATTCAGTTACTCTTCTTTCTTCATGTTATCTTGTACTATTGTCATGTGTTCTTTATGGGTATTGTGTTTTATGTTTGGGTGATGTCTCATTACAAATGTTTCTTTCTTTTTTGCATATTAACTTCTGCTACCTTCTAAAATTTGTTGTCTAGGGCATAATATTCTAGAAATAAACTTAATAATATTATTTACTTTTACTCTTTTCATTTTACAGAAGTACAAAGTACCTACTGACATTGTTGTACTATACATACATAACATAATTATTTTTTTGAGAAAATAAGACCATTTCCAAGATCTGAGAATGAGACCAGCCCTAGTATTAGGGCGTTTATTTTTGCACTAGGGAGGTTCTGTACGGGCTTGATTAAATGGATATCCGGTTCCGATGTTGTTGTTTAATCAGACTTTTTGGCGGCCGCTGATCGATTAACAGTGTGTTTACAAAAACAACAGTTTTTCATAAAAAAGCACTCACGGGATTACGAAATGATTGGCTCTGAAATTTGAATAAAAGGGGTTTTGGATTTAATTTAAAAAGTTTGTGTTCTTACGTGTGGTATTTACTTTGATTACAACGTCCATAATGGAATCGCACTCAAACGAACATAAGACAATATTTATTGTCTGCCTACAGTTTGTAAAAATATAAATCAACGATGAAAGAACACTTCAAACAGCGAGTAATTTTGGGTCAACTTTAAACTAAGTTTATTTTAAATATTTCCCTATCTTTATTCTCCATGACCGTTTTCACCAAGCTACCCAAAGAAGCTGTCTATTCTCTTTTAATTTCGTGAACGTACAAGACGCAAAAGTTTGTGTGATGTGTCAAGACCGGATTTTTGACATACAACTTAAAGCATAATTATTCTATGGCTGTTTTCTTATATCAGAAATCTTTTCCATCAATATACGGCTCAGTCTTCAGGCGGAAAATTACATGTTCGAGTGAAAAATCGAGTTGCGTTATCTTTGAAAGAGTTTCACTATCAAGCGGCTTATCAGGAACCCGATCCCATTCATCCCAGCATCAGGGTTCGCCTCGTGTTAACTAATGAATCTGGGGAGGGGAGGCTATAATTAACGTCCCTCTCGATCCTGCGGTACAGTCAAGTACTAATTAAACTTCACAGCTTCTTTGTGTGAAAGTAGGCGTTAATCTACTTACGTTTGAGCTAGTTTGTTCGTATTTTAAGACCCATTTAGACTTGAAAACTTTGAATGTACCTATAGTTTCTGTAATTAGTTACTGGTCAAAATACATTACATACAACAATATATTATTATATACTTTAGAATGTGCCAAATAAGTTAACTTTCCCTGAGAAATGTAACTAGTTTTATAACGTAAGTTCGTCGTTATAACAGGTTATAACGTGTGTCACGCAGTTGACTGTACTGGCAAGGACCAAGAACGCAAGAGCTTAGCACATTATTAATAGTGGGTGTTTTGCGAGAGCGGTTCGTGTCGGTTCACTTAGCGACTTGTTAGTCAATACGCAGTGAATAATGTTGTACAGTGAATACTCGCGCGGTGGTTGCGGCCGCACGCGAGTTGTGAATAAACCGGTGTGGTTGAGGTGTTCATATTGAGCTATAAGTTTTGCTTTTGAAAAAATCAGATTCATCATCATCATCTCAGCCATAGGACGTCCACTGCTGAACATAGGCCTCCCCCAATGCTTTCTAAAATCAGATTAAAAATAGATATACGCCCGTATTCACAAACATTACTATGAGGTCTCACAGTGCGCGGGGACGCACAGGGTGTCACACGAACCAATCACAGAACTCTATTTAAAATGAAAAACATCGTACTACCTCCCCTAACAAAGAACTCTATAATCAAAGAAAACGGCACTCAGGCTCCACGATAAGTACGATACTGGAACGTCCGGTGTCCGGCACGTACCGGACGCCCGGACAATGCGCCGGCCGTAACGCGGACGCTAGTTGTGAGGACGTCGCAAATGAAGCGATCTATTCTCTCAAGTAGAGCATGGGCTGATATTATCAGCTACCCTACTAGTGATGCTGTTTCTGTTGAATGTCTGTTGTATTTACTTAAAGTATGTGCTT